TATATATATATATATATATATATATGGGTGGGTTCAAATAAAAACCACTCAATTTGTAAAAACCGTGAAAACCTCATTCAACCAATCATAATTTTTCATTTTGTTTATTTTTTGGTAATTATGAGAGGTTGATTAACCATTTTTATTGTGGAGGGTGTTAATCATTGATATTATCATCTTCATTATTTTAATTTTAGAGAAATACATGAAACAGTTTCATTAAAATTTCATTAAGTAGTATATGAAACAATTTCACAAGATTAACAATTTCATGAAAAAAATTCATAAAATTGACGACGGATGAGAGTAGTTTTTACGATTTTTACAAATTGGAGTGGTTTTTATTTGATCGCTCATATATATATATATATATATATATATATATATATATATATATAATATGTTGTCTTTCCTAAAAGAAGTATAAAAAATGGGTTCTTATAACAACCGTTAGAGACGCTTTAAGTAAATTTATTTAACACATATGTGACTTGATCATTTGAAATGAAAAATATGTGAGATTCATCATAGTCCATTAAATTAAGATAATTAATATTATGAATTAATGAGATAATTAAGGATATAATTATTGTTATTTATTAAAAAAAAAATAATGTATTTTTTAGTAAATTTCAAATTTATCTTTTTCCGTCTCTCTCATATCTCTTTATTAATATACACATCGTGTATAAAAAGTGAACACATTGTGAATATAATATAAACAATTTTAATATAAAAAAATTTACTATGGTTTTCATAAATGGTATACTTAGATTTAGTTTTATTGATTTAGTTTGTGTTCATAATATGTTCACAATCTATATTAGATCTCGTAGATTTATATAGTTTATTCACATACTATAATAGTATTTTTAAGAATGTGTTCACTTTGAGTTCATATTTAATTTTGTGTACATGTATGATATGGAAAGAGAAGAGAGAGAAATATGAACGAGGAAAAATAGGAGAGAGGAAATAGAAGTTTTTAATTTATATTAGATTTTATTTTTCAACTAATTTTTTATTGTTTAAGTTATATCTCACATATCTCTCAAGAATTACCAAGTTCTCAAAAGAAGACCCCTCTGATACATATGGAGAGCATCACCAACAACTATGATATAATTTTTCTAAAATATGATATCAAAAGTCAAAATCTCTAAAACATGACATATATTAAACAACTATTCTATTTAGCAATTGTAGTACTAACTACAGTATTCAAACAATTAAATCTAACACAATATTATTTCTCTATCCAAAACATTTAACTTATGTTGTTTAAGTTTTTTATTATTTTTTTAAAGGTAACATTTATTAATCAAAAAGAGTCAAACAAGAATAAAAGAAGTTCAAGTTTTTGCAAGATGTAGAAATCCACTCGACAAACAAGAGAAAACCAAGCAAACCTTCAACAAAAGCCAAAACATGAAGAAAACTGACACTGACACTTGAAGGGCAACGCAAGAAAGAGTGTTAAGTCGACTCATATTTGGAATTACGTTAAGGATACAAGACCGTATGTAAATCGATCCCCACTTTGTCCAAAATTTTCTCAAACCGTAACTCTACCACAATTAAGTTGTGCATTAAAAGTTTATAGCATACATTTTAAATTAAATTTTAAGCAGGTTTTTGAAACATAAAAAATCCCTAAAATTTATATTAGATTTAATTTAAGAACTAAATAGGAAAATTTATTTATTACAGATGTATATATGTGCAATACAGCATGATATATCTTGATTCTAAAGATTGTGAATTAATTGTATATTTATGCAATGTAACAATATTCAGTATTTTATTGTAAATGAATAATAAAAATTTGATGCAATTTTGAAATTTACATTTGGATACAAAAAAAACATGTTTGGATACCAAGTGAGTTTTTCTCTACAACAATTCACACATAAACACATGTGGCTCCAAGAGAGTACTAGCCTCTGTGTTTTCTAAAACCATAATTTAGTATGTGTTTTTTAAAATCATAATTAAAAGAACTGAATGTCTATTAAACCTAAATAACTGAAAATATATTTGAGATAAAATGTATCATCATCTGTTTTAATTATATTATGTAATATTGTAACTAAATAATTTTTTTCATTTGATTATTCTACATTTTTCAATT